GAATGGTTAGTTATGATAAGACAGTCTTTGCCCAAATTTTGCTTTTTCTGGTTCTTTCTTTAAAAATCAAGTTCAAATGAACTTTTTCTTAAAATTTATACAAAGCAAGATGACTTTACTTAAGGTCATTGCTTAGATATTTTGTAGAATGATACAAGATTCATTGCTCTTTCACTTCCTTTTAAAATTATTTCACATTCAAGAAATCACAGGCATAAAATCCAATACAAGTCGTAACTGCTATTTCTATGCTTGCAAATAATCAGTTACTTTATCTCTAAGCTTTGTTTATTTTTGCATTCAGTGAAGTTGGATGCTTGCATTTTTTCCCAATGTTTTCATGTTTGTGAAAACATTAAGTCTCTTTTGCTCATATTACTAATTAAGCAATCCTTTTCAGCAATATGCAACTAAATAAAATACTTTGGGAGTGAGCCATCTAGTGGTTAAAAATTATTAGCCAAAAAGAATGGTTTCTGCTACACAACTATGATGTGCTTTCACCACAGAAATGTGTGAGTCATGTGAGCTGCAGATTTGAAGGGACTAGATTGAAGCTGACTGCTGGAATCAGAAAATAATGTAAATTTAGACTATGGAGTCTATTAATAAGTGAAGGAAAGATGGAAGCAGACAATTTACAATTACTTTCAAAAACAAACATCTGAATGACTTCTCTTGTAAAAACAGTTCCCCCTAAAAAACAACAACAACCAAGATACGTGTACTCCAAAAACCATACAATGTAAGGGTTTGGTTGCTCAAAGAGGACATGAGGACAAAAAGGAGGAATGTCCTCCATTTGCTGGACCTCTGGTAAACCTATTTACACTGAAATAATTCCAAGTGATCCTTAAGAAACTGCAATATGTTATTTATTTTGGAACCAAAGAAATGTATCACTTTAAAAACCCAAGTATATTTTAAATACCATGGAATTAAGCTAAAGTAAAGTTCTGTCATGAGCTATAGGAAGGATTTAACTCTTTTTCTCCTAATATGATCCAGGTCTGACTGGGTTCCTAGAACCAACATTTTATATGGTCTAACATTCATTTTCATCACTTTTTGGAAAAACAGTACAAGTAGCAGTTACCACAGGCCCATGTAGATTGCTCCTACAGAATTAAGAATCTAATTCCCTTTCCCCAATGCATAGCCATGTTAAAGTCTCAACCTGAAAAGGGAGGAGGAAGCATTTTACATGCATGTGTGCACGTGTGTGCATGTGAGCCCGCAAATAGGTGCGCGCTGCAAATGGGGCGGGGCTAGCACCAGCTGTGATACTCACTAGTCCTGCTCCATTCTTGTGTGGTGCCACGCCTTGTGTGGCGGCGGCTGCTTTTGCACCTTGCAGCGCCCGTTTTTGTGCCCCATGACGTGGCAGCGGCCTGTTTTTGCAGCCTGCAATGCAACGGTTGCCCGTTTCCACACCTTGCAGTGTGGTGGCGGCCCGTTTTTGTGCCCCAGAGTGCGGCGGCAGCCATTTTTGCACCCCACAGTGTGGTGGCAGTCCATTTTATGCCCAAGGAGCAGTGGTGGCCCATTTTTGCACCCCATGGCATGGCATCCTGTTTTTGTGCCCCATAGCCACATGCTAGCACAAGTAAGGAGGTCTGTGCTCACATGCATACACACTGGCCAGCCTGTCCCACGACCCGTTAGCTAGCAGGCCACAGACCACTACCAGGCCAGGGCCCACAGGTTCAGGACCCCTGCTCTAAAGTACTATGGAAGGATATATAAGTCTGTGCTATTGCCATTGCTATTGCTATCAAATCAATCTCAGCTCTTAGTGATTACCTAGCTAGGCAGTTTTCTAACAAGCTGTTTCCTCAACCTGACTCTTTGGATCTTCCAACGTTGCCTCCTTTGTTGTTCTAATTGAGTTCATCTGTCTTGCTGCTGGGGATTCTCTTTCCTTTTACCTTTACCAGCATTACAGTTCTCTTCACAAGAGAACTTGATCCCAATACAGTATGTCCAAATATAATTTAAGCCTGATCATGTATGCATCTTGAGTGAGAACTCTGGGTTGATTCAGTGATCCCTTTGTTTGTTTTAATGACTATCCATGGAATTTTCAGTGTCTTCTCCAAAGACCAAAATTCAAAAGCATCAATAATTCTTTCTGTCCTGTTGCCTCAATGTCCAGCTTTCGCTTCCTTGGGGTATCACAAGGAAAACTATTGTCTGCAGGACACCACCCCATAAGGAGGAACTACTTAAGGATCACCAAAAATAAAGAAGTGCATAATGAAAAAAGAGAACAAGTGAGCATACATACAATATGCACACCCCATTTTGTATTTGCAGTGCAGTTATAGAAATTACAATATCAATACGATGTAATTCTTACCACTATATGACTTTTGTCTCTGCTGTCTCAACCAATCATGAACTAACTTGTTAGGCCATTTCAGAGATTCTGCTCTTCAGTCTTATACATGGACTGAACATCTGACTTCAAGCAAAGGGATGACCTCTTACACTGAACAGGACACCTTAGAGTGGATCAAATAAGTCAAGATGGCACTTCGTCTCTTTTCACTCATGTAAAATGTAAGGGACTTGGTATGGTCTTATCCCTTTTTAGATATTAGAGAGAGGGAGGGACTTGGCACAATCACTGTTAGCAATCTGCCTTCCCTGTTGATGACTCTGCAGTCTTCAAATAGAAAACCATCTTCTGTAAAATAGGGCACATAACCATTCTGAAAATATTTGACATGAAGTAAAGATCACTGCCAACTTCTGACACCAATTGGGATGATTTATTTCACAAAAATACTGATTTAATATGTATCAAATGATAATGAAGCAGTAAGTTTTTAAATATTAATCATGTTGTGTTAGGGTTGAAGCAGTGAATGCCTACATACATCTGTTTTTGAAAAGACAGATTTTTTTTGCTCCTCCTTCTGAAGAATCTTGTATCTCAAGAAAGTGATGCATTCATACATCATATGAAAATGTGCTTAAGATTTTTTTAAGTCCAGTAGATGGGAAATCAAGCTAAATTGGAAAAACAGGCTTTGTGTTTGGCTCAGTGTTCAAATACTGAGATACAAATTTTAAAGGTCTGCATTATACTAAAAAAATGACATGTTTTAGTCAGAATAGAGCTGGAAGGGACCTTGGAAGTCTTCTAATCTAACCCCCTGTTCAAGCAGGAGACCCTACACCATTTCAAACAACTGGCTGTCCAGTCTCTCCTTAAAAACTTCCAGTGATGAAACACCCATAGTTTCTGAAGGCAAGCTGTTCCGCTGGTTAATTGTCCTCACTGTTAGGAAGTTTCTTTTTAGTTCCAGGTTGCTTCTCTCCTTGATTAGTTTCCATTCATTGTTTCTTGTCCTGCCTTCTGGTGCTTTGGAAAATAAGTTGGCCTGCTCTTCTTTGTGGCAGCCCTTTCTATATTCTTTTGAACACTTCTGTATTCCTTCGAAGTTAGAACTTTTGATCAAGATGTTTAATGTTGAAATAATGGGTACTTAACCTGGAGAATGGAATTAGGTTGTGTATTTGTATGCAGGTATGTAAATACTATCACAAGGGTTTTCTATCTATCTGGGCAATAGAATCTACCATACCACTAGTGTGTGTGAATGTCTTCTCCTCCCAATATTTCTTTCCATACATCTTATTTTTAGTTTTAGTTTTAGGGTTTTTTTTATTTTTAGATTGGGCCCATGAAGGCTGAGACCATCTGATTATTCATTTTTAATAGGGCTGATAATGCTGGCTGAAAAGTAGGAGGAAATAGCTTTAAATTGAAAAAAAAAGGTGTATGGTAAAAATGAATATGTGTGCATACACAGCCTACTTTTTCCAAATCTTTTTTTTTTTTTTTTGCCATTCTTGCTATGAGTTTCTCCAGAGGCATGCTGTCTTTTGACAGCAAAAGATAAAACTGACTGATACAAATGAGTCACAGTTCCCTTGAAATAGTGATTAAATTCCCAAGCAAGAAAGACGACTTGAAGAATTAACTGTTGTGTTATCCTAGAAGATGCAGCTGTACTCAATGAAGGGAATTAAGCCACTTCCCTTTAGTGCTTTTTGTCTTATATCTGAATATGGAAAAATTGAATGTTGTCATCATTTCTTTAAGGAAAAAAAATATGCAGGTTAAATTTAAGATAAAAAGAAATTAAAGCCATATGCCCAAGCATATCATAGCTGCTTGGTAAGATCCAATGGTTTGGCTGCAAATATATTTTCTCCTCATTTTTATACTTTACTACCTACAGCAAGAATATTCATGTCATAAAATTACTATGTAAAACATTTATCATATATGTATCAAGATAATTAAGTAGGTTAGAATATTGGCCAAAGTTGTTTGGGATAATGGAAGTTATAGCTTCCCAACTATCTAAACATCTAATAAACATCTAATAGGCAGGTTTGTATTGAATGTTCTCCATAAAAATGACTAGGAGATCTTGATCTATGCATTCTTTCTAAATCAAACTATAATGAAGAAATGTTACTAGGATAAAACACACCGTATATTCATTTTTCATGTGATAGCATGAATCACTAGAAGAATTTTGTAATGAAAATATATTTCTGATTAACAATGTAGAGCACACACCCAGTTTTATGAGGACTGTGGAATGAGGCTATGATTTTAAAGGGAATAAACTAAAATGCTTACCATGGCATAGCTACATTAAGTTTGTGGTGAAATCTGTTCCAAAATAGCAGAAATAATTCATCAAAGGCAAATGAAACCAGTACAAGTGTGGCTTTTGGGTCTTTTTTCTTAAAGCAGTCCTATCAAGTGCATGGAGAGAAAAAAGTGAAGTTCTACAACATAATATGAAATGTGATACTGTTGTCAGTACAATTCTCCAAGGAGAAGGATAGATTGTGGTCAAGACCTAAACAGGTTAACTGGTGGTCACTCTGATTGTTCTTTATATACAAAAGAAGTCAACACTATTGAAGAAATTTGAAACCTAATATGGCATGAAATAAGACATCTGTTGGACTATTATTTGTTTCTGTTTAAATGGGCTTTATTTGAAAGCTCAGTGAACAACTCAGGTACAGTCTTTGTGGTATCCATAGTTTTCAGGAATTTCTGATTCCAAATCTCATGTTTATTTGCTTTTTAAATTATTTAAAAGCAAATACATTACTTGATATATATATTTATAGATAGAGATATATACACCATTTCAATCAATTAATAGTAAATAATAAACCTCAGATCCTGAAATAATATATTTCCTCACATTGGGCATTTTTAAATTTTATTTTTGGGTTTCTTGCACATATAATTGTAAATGAGGATCAAGTCACTTAAGAGCTATCTGTTTAAGCTTAAGAGCCATGTGTGTTAATGGAAAATCTGGACCAGCCTCTTAAGTTCAATTTTAATTTTGTACAACGTGCTAGCCATATAACCAGTATGGCTGCATGATAAAGAAATCCTAAATTTCTATAATTATATATGACCGTATGTTGTGCAAGGACCTATTCTCAATGTGAAATAAATTTAGACCAGCTTCACAATATAAAAAAAAATATACAGTTTTTCTACATGACAGCTATCGATAAAAATCAGTCAACTCTGTGCAAGAATCTCATTTTTAGTACAAAAAATATTGAATCATTTTGTATTACCAAATTTGGAAAGGACATTCTGTTACAGTCACAGAATGATAGTACTATGCTACAGAATGTTTCACAGCACTTTCGTATAGATTAATTCAGTTGTCTGTCCAATTGAGTTCAGTGGTGCTTATTTTCAGCCTAGAATTGCATTGTCAACTTACTGAAAGGATTTCACATACATTGTCACTTTCTTCTTTTCTTAGCAGGGCAAAAAAAGGAATTATAGATTGGATATCTAAATGTAAATGGGGTGGGATAAGATAAAAAACAGACTTGAGAATGATTCCCTACTTAACTGATACTAATGAAGTCAGTATTATCTATTGATCTTCCATAAGCAGGTTCTAGAAAAATCTCTTTCAGCTCCTAGGTTTTCCAAAAATAAGATAAACTAGAAATTCATCATTGTTTCATTATCAGTCTTGGCATCATATAGATGACAGATCATGTTTACTGAATATACATAGGATCATAGTGGCAATTGGTCAGGAGTAATGCATAATCAGGATTTGTACACAATATATAAATGTATGATTATGTGTACTAGGCTGTCCCTGTATGATAGGAAATCCTTCAAAGGCAAAATCCCCAATTACACAGAGAAAGAATACACATATATAGGATAAGCTTATCATCTCTATGCAGATAAATAACCGTGTATAGATCAAAATGTTAACAGCATGCACAATCTGATTTATACACACACAAACCACATGCACACATGCTCACACAGAAGCATACACACAACAAATATTCAATGGAGTTTGAAAGGCCTTGCATGATAGGCAATTCTCCCTATATATTCCCTACCTTCAATGTAGAGATTCTTGGGAACATCACAAAATAATTGTGAAATGCAACATTTCAATGCACAGTGGGAGATGCATTTTCCCTCACCTCTCAAACGTGTTACTTATATCTATATAAAAAATATTACATCCACAGTTCTGAGAGTTGCAAGTGAGGATTTGGATTAGTTTGTGGCAAAAATTCTCCAAAGAGAATAAAATTGTCCTGCCTTGGGTAATGCAAAGGTTATTAATCTGACTATGTATTGTACAGGACTGTAGCATTTTGGAAACCTTGTTATTCACAATAAGGATATATTGTACATGAATTGACGTTTACATATACCATTCATTATGTATGAGTATGACTGAGCACTGTGACAAATTTCAAGTAAAAAATAAGTACAAAAATCTTCTGAAGGAAAGAACAAATATACATAAACTAGAGTCTATAGCAAAATTTAAAGTGTAACCTAGCCAACGAAGTTATATAATAATGTTACAAATTTAAACCATTTGAGGTTTGGAATGGAAAATTCCAAAGTCCAAGCTGAAGGCATCTTAAGATTTCCTTACGAGCAAAGAGATGATAGCTGAAAATGTTTGCAACAGTTCATAGAATTCCATCTGGGTTGTGCAAAAAGTATGAAACACCTAAAGGGTAAGTTGAAGTTTAGTCATGTTCCTGTTGTGCATATTATGATGACGGACCAATTCATCAGAACGAGCAAATTTCTTTTGACAGCTGGGCCACCGACAGCTGAAAGGTTTTTCACCTGTTAACAAAATGTACACTTATAAATTATCATCATAATCCTAATATATACTATTGCCTTATCCCCTCTTAGAACTCTGATTAAACTGCAATTGCACTTAAGACTTATATAATGCTTTACAGCACTCTCTAAATGGTTTACAAATATCAGCATATTGTCCCCAGTAATCTGGGCCCTCATTTTGCAAAGTTAGAAAGCTGAGTCAACCTTGAGCTGGTCAGGATCGAACTTCTGGCTGTGGGCAGAATTAGCCTGTAATACTGCATTCTAACCACTGTACCACCAAGGCTCAGTGCTGAAGTAGATTCCTATCTTTTGACTATAAGGTGCTTCATTAAGCTCATGTTCAACTGTCCAAAGATTCCAATAAAAGTTGAGTTAATCTCTTAGTTTCTATTGCTTTTAAATAAAAATGTGTTCTATATGTTTGGGACATTTTCCTACTTTGAAGAGTTTAGAAAGCTTCCGGTATGTATCCTATATAGAGGTTGCTCAGTAGATTATTTTCTCAATTAAACCTTCCATTATTTTTAGATTTATAAAAGGATGTTCTCCTTAAGTATTATATCTATTCATAGTTTGAACATTTAAATTTTTTACATTACATTACATTACATTATATTCTCCCTGTTTGACAGAGAATAGTCAAATTTCACAATGTTGCTTAACGGAAAAATGGCCAGCTTTACATTGCATTTTATGGTACTAACTACCATAGCCACTTGAAAGTTTGCAATAATAATATAAAAACAACATTCATAATAAAAACATTAAAAGTACAATTAAAATATTCTAAACCATCATTAATTTAAATTAATGCCTGTGTCTTAAAATCCATATTTATGCACGTGTCTTAAATGTACATTTAATAACATTTAATAATACATTTAATAATTCCCTGTTTAATCCCTCAATTGAATCATGGTCCAGAGATCCGGGTGGTTACAAAAAAGTCTCAGTCCTAAATCTGTACCAAACAAGCACAGCATCTGTGTAGATAACCTTCCCCCTCTGACCTCAATGAGTTTTGGCAGGGGGAAATTAGCTGAAGCCATTAAATGCAACCCTGGACATTGCTTCCTCCTAGGAGATGGAAACAGTCAAAACCAGAAGCCCTCCTTCTTTCACATTGGAAGGCAGCATTTCTATTCCATAAGTCAGATGGAGCAACAACAAAAGAGAATGAAAACTCTGGAGGACAATAGCTTTGAAAGTATGCTGACTGGGCCCTGTAACAGCTGTCCTTCATTACGATATCCATAGGCTTCTCTTTTCTTCTCCTTATTTTGCTTTAAACCAATCCCAAAGAGTTCAGTTTGTACCAAGTTTGCATCATGGAACAGCATGCATGCCCTGAAGAAATTGCCACTCAAGTGTTATTTTTCCAAATGACTGCTCTCGGAATAAATAGCAGCTAGCAGCTAGTAGCTAAGGACAGAGAGTTAGATTGGTGTAGTGGTTAAAGCATCAGATAAAAACCACCAGACTATGAGTTCTGATCCCATTTTAGGCATGAAGCCAGCCGGGTAACCTTGAGCTAGTCACTTTCTCTCACCTTAGGAAGGAGACAAGGACAAACCACTTCTGAAATCTTGCCAAGAAAATTGCAAGGACTTGTCCAGACAGTCACCAGGAGTCAATACTGCCTTGATGGCATTCCTCCCCCCCCCCAAAAAAAGATGTTGTTTTTAGTGGCAAAGCAGTCCAGAGAAAAGGTAGCTATGCCCTCAGTCTAGATCACCACTATCTCACCATTTCCTGTATCTGTTTTATTGATGGAAAAAGGGGGTTGGGTTTTTTTTAAAAAAGTATTGAAATGGAATTTAACACTTTTTGTTTGTTCTCAAGGAGACAATTTAGAAAATATTATGAAATGGAAACTTCAATCTAAATTGTTAAATATTTTGTAAATGGTCCACTTAAGAAAATATCAGGTGAGTAAATTCTGATTAATATATTCTCCAACTTCAGTTATCTTTATTTTAGAACCTTAAGATTAATGATAAGTATAGTGAAGAAGTAACACTTTTATTTTTAAACAGACAATACATGCATTACTAGTTTTCCACTAGTTTGCCTTGCTACATTGGACTACCGTATTTTCCGGCGTATAAGGTGACACGGCGTATAAGACAACCCCCGACTTTGGCACCAATTTCCATGCCTAGAAAGTCATCTTATACGCCGGAAACTACCGTAATTTCCGTTGTATAAGACAACTCAGCATATAAGACGACCCCCGACTTCAGCGCCGATTTCAACCCTTTAGAAAGTCATCTTATACGCCGGAAAATATGGTATATAAAGGGTGAACTAGAGTACCTGGTGTGTATAAGCTCTAAAAAGTCTTGCTGTTGGGATATTAATCATTTAGAGTCTTTCTTCTGACCATTTCAAAATATTGCCTGCCCATTCTAGAGAGGGCACAAAGGAATCTTACCATAAAAATAGTTATCCCCTTAGCTAATCCCATTCTGCCTCTTTAGTATCTGCTTGAAGTCACTGCTGCATGTTCTAATTTGTGACTATTCAATAAATACAGGCAATGTCTTTCATTGGCTGTATTGATATTTCCTTGCAGTATGTCCCAAACCAGTGGAGAAGAGATCCACCAAACAGGGCCAGCAACAGGAATGACATGTATATGTGTGCGTGATTTCAGAATTGTGCCTTCTCTAGGCTAGCTTGCCTCTCCTCTCACATTTCTTTGGGCATCTCCAGAATACAATAATGTGAAAAAGTGAAAGACACAAAAGCAGAAATAAAGCTCAAAAAGGAGGGCTGATCTTGCTATAACAACATATAGACAAATACTCTAGAGTACAATGAGGGAAATTGACTAGGTCCTAGAGAACTGTCTCTCTTATTTCAAGGAGGTGGAGATACAGATAGCAGATTAAACACACATATGTCCCTTCTTCCTCAGATTAAAAAATAGTTTCTTCTCCTCAACTTTGCTGGGAGCAGGGAAAGTGATGATTATGAAATAAATTCATATTTTTAGCTTCTGTATTTTGAGTGATTTCAGAGCTGCACAAGTGCTGTTCAGGGCCCCTGTGGTCAGGTTGTTCACCTCTGGGACAGAACCTAAGATTGAGTCAGTTTGTCCTATTTAGAATGTTGGCTAGAAGTTGCAGCCTCAAATTAAGTTGAGTTAAAAAGACAGATTACCCCAATTTAAAGTCTTGTCATCTGAACTTAATTCTTCTGCCAAAGGATGATAGTTATGACTCTTGATTTTGCTCTAAGTCAGATGTGTCCAATCTTGGCAAATTTAAGACTTGTGGACCTCAACTCCCAGAATTCCCATGACTGGCTGGGGAATTCTAGCAGTTGAAGTCCACAAGTCTTAAAAGTTGCCAAAGTTAAGTACCCCAGCCCTAAGCATTATTTTCTCTGTAATAGCTAAGACGTATCAATATCACATATGCCCAGAATAATTTCCAAGAAATATCATAATTTAACTTTCAATAAAATAAATAAGAATATATAAATGGGAAAAAAGTATACGCACTTGTTTTACCTGTATGAGTCCTGGTGTGAGTCTTCAGATGATCAGATCTGGAGAACTTTCTCTGACAGGTTTTACACTGGAAAGGTTTCACACCTAAATACATAAAATAAATCTCTTCTTGTATTCTAGTACCTTTACAGGGGTATAAGAATATCCGTTCTTCTGAATTTCAGAAACATAGACTTTTACTTTTATTTAACAATTGCCATTTTCTCTCTAAGTATAAACCTTCACATCTCTAGTCTCATTAATCAAGCAACTATCTGACCTTTTTCAGCCTCCTGGTCCTTTTTAACTCCATTTAGTGCTTTTACCATGCCTTTGTTTCTGGCAAAAAAGGAAGCATTAATTCACTTTGGAGTGAAAACTTGAAAAATTAGAAATAAGAAACATCATGCAATTATGGTTGTTATTTCTACAAGCAATACTGTCCTTTAATAATGTGTGCTTTTTTCCATTTCAGTTCAGTACATCATTCTTCACATATCCAAGTACTTTTTAAAAACGTTATTCATGATGTGATTTTTTTAAAAAAAAAAAGAAATCTGAGTTTATTTTCTGTACTTAGAAGATTCTTTAAAAAATTAACTGTGCACACAATATCAATCACAATATTCCACTTACCTCTCTTCTAAGCTTACTTATGATTGTCCATAAAGGAGTTCCAAATCTCTGTTAGTATGTTATTTTATTTAGTTATTTGAATTAAGATATTTTAAAATATGAGCAGCCATATAAATACTATGAAATTAATAAATAAATCATACAGTATTCCTAATCTGTAGATATCTATACAAGCATGTCATTGCATAGAATTATTTTCTCATTATTTCTTAAGATACCAGCTTTAAAAAAAAAGTACTTTAAGGCTGAAGTCTTATATTACTTACCTAAACCCTATTGAACTGAATGAATTTTATTTCTGTTTGCACAATTAGTTGTTTATCCAGTGCTGTGATTTTTATTGAAAATATATACAACTTTCAAAATATTTGAAACATGCTCTCAGACCTGTAAGGTAGACCAGACCAAGAAACTGATACCACTTATCCTATTTTTATTAGAGTGACTATAGTATTAGAATCATGTTAATTCTAAATATGCTTCCTCTCTTTTTTCTTCCTGAGAATTAGAGAAGTGATGGTCCTTATTCATAAATTCTTCTTTGCATGGGCTTAAGCTACATTTATCTGTTTGTTGCTTTGATAATGGATCTTTCCTTTCTCCCTTAAGGTGACTCTCTATACCCTCTACACATGCACAAGAGCTTATTTTTATTACACTACAGTGCAAAGTAAGCTGTGGTGAGACTGCAAGGGAACTGATGGAACATTTGTATTTCTTCTGTAAGATAGTGGCACCAGAATAGGACTTTTTGTAAGGTCTCAGTGAAGATTGACGGCTTCTCTGCAGATTCCAAACTTATAGGATATCGGAGGGATTATGACGTATGGTGTAGAGCAGGGGTCTCCAATCTTGGCAACTTTAGGACTTGTGGACCTCAACTCCCAGAATTCCTCAGTCAGCATGGCTGGCCTTCTTATCCCTATAGTGCCTTGACTTGAATGAGTCTTCTTACCCTTAGTGCTTTGACTTAACATGCCGGCAATGGGGAGAAAGTCGTGATACGTAACGTGACATCGCGAGTTTGACATGCCTGCACTAAGGAATTCTTTTAAGGAATAATATCAGAAATGAAGATTGGCTGGCTTTTATTATGCTTTTGCTTTCACTCTGTTGTTACTTTTGCTGCCACCTCAGGAAGCCCAGCGATGCAATGCAAAACTGCAATGCCACCTCAGGAAGCACCAGCTGCCCCAACCCCAGCCACTTTCACTGCCCTGCACTCACTCTGAGACCCCTCTTATCCTGAACTCTGCCATCAGAGCTGACCGTCTTCTTGCTCCACTAATGATGAGTTATGCCAGGGCTGGTCCTTCATGAGGCAACTGCTAGTCATATGAGGCCATCTTCCTCAGATCTGAAGAGGCAACCACTGTGTGAGGCCTGGTGAAGAAAGCTTCAGCTGGCCAGTGGTTGCCTTGCAAAGGACCAGGCTGGGTATGCTTTGGTCAGTAGCAGCTGCAGCTGCAGCAAGAAGACTAACAAAGGACAGCTAGGGTGGCAGGGGCCATTGAGAGCAGAGGGCCAAAAGGGCAAAGATAAGGAAAAGATAAGTGGCTGGGGGAAAGTTGCATGTAGATTGCCAAACATCCAAATTTTGATCACATGACCATGGGACATTGTAACAATTATAATATCCGGGACTGGTTGTAAGTCCCTTCATTCGGCACTGCCATAACTTTGAATCGTTGCTAAAGCAATAGATGTAAGTCGAGGATCATCTGTATCATTTATAAAAATGTATTAAATCTCTTAAGGTTTGTTAAGTAGCTGTTATTTCAACTATCAAGGAGTATTCCTCCCCATTATCAAGTATAGGGAAAAAATTACTTCCCAGTGTCTCAGGCCAAAGGGTTAGTTTCTAGGATCACCTATGCTCAGCAGATATGGTTAGAAATAATCAAATTATACAACATCTAACTACATCTAAATGCTCTTCCCAAAATACAGTCTAACTGCTCTGTACTAACATTACTATATTTTCAAGGGGCATATAATAATCCCAACCTAAGTTCAATATTGCTTCTTTGTAGTATATTTCTGAACTTGTACAAACACATAAAAGGTCATAGTCCCAGCCTTAGTGCTCTTAAAAGCAAAAAATTACAACTTCATTTCACATACTCCTGATAAGGGAAACTGCAAATTGCAACACATGTCAAAAGCTCACATATGCAACAAACCTGTATGTCGCCTTTGATGCCTTTTGAGTTGATCTGAACGAGAGAATCTTCGTTCACAGTCCTTAAAGTCACACTGATACGGCTTTTCTCCTTAGAAAAAACATGTTTATTTGAAGGAAGTAAATAACGCTGTCGACATTAAATAAAACTCCAGTCAACATAACTAGAACAAAGCTCACATACTGTATAATACAGAGATAGTGCAAATGATTATCTTTAGAGAAAAGATAATATAAATGTTTAATATTTTTTTAAAAAAATTCAATCTCCACTTTCTAATTTAAAAATAAATGGTTGGAATTTTGTAAACTATTTATTGTGCCAAGGTCTGGGTCTGTAAATGTGCAAAGAGAAGATGGCGTTAGTAACTGTGGAGAGGGTTTTTTGGCTGCTATTTATTGTAATTTTATGCAGTTGTGATATCTTACAACTTCTTACATAACAGCTTTCCAATTGTATTTATCTTTCCCATGAGGCAGGTAGGGGGGAACTTGCAAGGAATTCCATCTGGCATGCCTTTTCTACTGTAGCCCCTGCCCTCTAGAGCCTCATTACACAGATGATGTTATTAGCCCCATCTCTGTTAGCTTTCCAGAAGACCATTAAAACATTTTTCCCAGTCCTGGAAATCCCAGAAGCAGCCTACAAGGTGGCTGTATGAGACCAGGTAGAAAATTGAGCTTAGCTTAGCTGATCCAAAAATCTGAAGTAGCAACAGAAAGTTTTTACCAAATGTATTTTTCACACTCAAGCTATAATTCTGGAAGTGCTAGCAGATTCTGAAAATTTAGCATCCCTACCACGTTCTCCCACATTCTTGGTTTTTACAGGTTTATTTTATGTGTCCTTTTTATATGTTTTATGTTTTTTTTATTTAGTTTTTACTGGTTTTTGATTGCTATGGAGCTTTTAACTGTTACATTGTATGCTGCCCCGACTCACATTTTTGTGAGATGTGGGCTATAGAAATATGCTAAATAAATGAATGAATTATTTTAATTTTTTTAACTTCTTATTATTCACTACCCAAAGTCATTGGATAAGATGAGTGACTAAAAAATAAATATTTGTAAGAGACAATAGCTTAGGCAGGCAGCACTTAAAATCTGTGAATTTGCAACTAAATAATTCCAGCACTAGAAGAGCAATGAATACTTGTGACAAAGAATCAATCCTAAAAAAATAAGGAAATATTCAGCAAGTGAGTTGAACATTGTTTACAAAAAGAAATCATGAGAATCTTGTTTCATTGCTTTGTGGTTATAATAAAGAAACACCTTTTTATAGACACTTATTAGTTAAGCCAAAGGTCTGCATTTTTATGTAAATTTTTGAAGAAACAACAGATTGTTCACTCCTATTTATGACTTCTTCTGAGGATATACATTCTAAACACTAATTGAGTAAAGTCACACAATATGTGCGCAGCTAAGTTATGAAAGTTATAAGGTGTCCCCAACCTGATCACCTGATCTTTTAATCCTTAGCACGTATCAACACATGGAAAATTGAGCTTCACAGTGAATTCCTCCATTAGCTTAGCTGATCCAAATCTGAAGTAGCAATAAGTCCCAGCAACAAAAAGTTTTTATAAAATGTGGTTTTTGCGCTCAGTTTCTAATTATGGAAGTGCTAGCAGCATCTGAAAATTTGACATCCCTAGCAAATTATCTCAATATAGAACCCAAGCAGGGTGATAAGCATTAGGTTTATGGTTTAGCATGTTTTCAAGAGTTACATGCAGTGGTGGGATTCAAATATGTGAACAACTGGTTCTCTGTGTGGATGCCACTTCTGAAAGTCCATTCTGGGCCTGGGCAACAAAAAATTAGCTACCGGTTCTGCCGAAGTGGTGCAAACTGGCTGAAACCCACCACTGGTTATATGTTTTGGTATTTTTGCTCATCAGTAGTTAGTAGTCTGTGGTCTCAGCAGATGGTGAACCTAGTCAACCAGCCAACTTTGGCTAATCTTAAAAGCTAAGCAGGGTCAGCCTTAGTTAGACTTAGATGAGGAAACTGCCTGTGAATTCCAGGACTGCTGGATAGACTGGACAATTGAGAACACCCTGGAAGAAAGCAATGGCAAACATTTTCCATAATACTGCCAAGAAAATTATATTAATGTAGTTAGGATTGACTTAGGCATTTATACTTTTAACCTATTTCCCCATCTTGGATAACCAGAAACAATTGCATTATAATCCCATCATTTTTGTTGTGGGTTGTACTGAAAGACAATCCATTGTATGAACCAAGTTTTAATTAAAATTGTAGTTACAATATATTTGGAGAAAACCGAGTGGGAGAATCTGACCTCTTAGCAACAAATCAGCTCTGTAGTAAAGTCAACAAAGAAATTCCAATCGTAATGAGTTGAATGGGTTCAAATTTTAGTTTTGTATAAAGGAAATCAGAGAGTTACAATTATTTAGCTTGCATACATTTTTCTATTTCCTTGAAGAGTTGTTATGACTTTTAAAAAAACCCTTCCATTAATATAAATCTTGTTAGTTAATGAAATCATTATTTTCACCATAGATAATCTGTTACAAAAATTTTATCTTCAAAGTGATGAGTTACTGTATTCAGTTTGTTTACAACTGAGTTTTGCTGGGAAGAAAAAGTTCATTGCAACTAAGTATCACTTTATGTGTTTAAAAAAAATCGTCCAGTCATATATCATTTGCAAACTAATAAATCATTGTTGCTACTTCAGTGTTAATGATGGGTGAAAGTGGGTACAATATTATTGATAAAGATTTTTTAAAATACATTATTTTGGCTGTTCCAAGAAAAGAGTATCTTTTTATATCTGGGTCAACAGTATTAATGCTTTGGAGGGCACTTAGTAAACAACCATAATTGTGATGTCAGCAAAATTTGTGCTGAAGCAGTGATAAGCACTGATACAAATTCCAGCTTTGTGCATCAGAGTTCCATAGATAGTAACAGTATGTAAAATAACAATTTGCAGGAAGTGCAATGAATCAGTTGTTTTATAAGGGGAAATCTTATGACCCACTCCATTTTCTTCTTTTTTAAAAAACAAAACAAAACATTAATTGCTATTTAGCTGTTCCATTTCTCCACCTTATAAAATTTGAAGCTACATATTTAAGAATCATACACTATGAGAATATTATAATTATAGCTAATATTATCCACTCATTTAGAATAATCACTAATCCCTTTTTTAAAAAAAATAAAAATCCTGAGGTATCCAAAAGATTAGAGGAGGTATTATGATGCACACTTCTGTAAATTATACCTCGCTTCACTGTGATCTGTAAAGTTTTATATATACATGTAGTTATTTCCTGATTTTATGGCCACATCTTTCTGTAACATTCAAATGTGAAATTACTGGTAGTCCTCAAATTGCAACCACAACTGAACTTCAAATTTCCAATACTAAGCAAAATGGTTGTTAAGTGAGTTTTGCCCCATATTACAACCTTTCTTCCCACAGTTGTTAAACTGAATCACTGCAGTTAAGTTACCATAGCTACATGGTCGTTAAGTGAATCCAGCTTCCCCATTGACTTCGCATGTAGTAAGGTCGCAAAGGGTAATCACATGAGTGGGAACACTGCAACTGTCATAAAGACATGCCAGTTGCCAAGCATTCAAATTTCGATCAAGTGACCATAGGTGTGTGTGTGTGTGTGTGTGTGTGTGTGTGTGCTGCAACGGTCATGTGAAAAATGGTCACAAATTACTTTTTTTCAATGCCATTGTAACTTTGCACAGTCACTAAACGAATGGTTATAAGTCGAGGACTACCTATATACAATTATCCCTCTGAGTCTTTTTGTGAAAGGAGCTGCATGCACCACATTTTCATTAGTACACGACACCACTGAAGTGACAGATTGGCAATTCTACTGCCAGAGGCTCCCAGAATGCTTAGTTCTAGAAAGGCCAGGAAAAGCTTCCATTACCATGGGAAGGGCTATGAGACACTGGATGTGGCAACTATTTCAGGGGAACTATGCACTCCATGAAGATACTTACCAGTGTGTTTTCTACCATGCATCTGCAAATGGGACAGTTTAAAATATCGCTTGTTACAGCCAGGATACACACACATAAAAGGTCGCTTTTCATTTGTGTCACTTGCTGATCTAACAATTGTTGGAGGCACTCCAGACATTCGTCGCACATCCTATGATAGCATAAAGAAGAGGGTTTTACATACAATATATTCTGGGCTCATTAGAGAACTGTAAAAACTATAGGACAGGGATGTCCAACTTCAGCAACTTTAAGACTTGTGGACTTCAACTCCCAGACTTCCTTAACCAGGATGGCTAGCTGGGAAAGTTGCCAAGGTTGGGGATACATACATACACACACACACACACTGCTATTCAAGTTTCCCCAAAATATAGGTAATAGCAAATCGTGACATTGTTATTTGTTCCATGTCACAAAGGAAATTATAACACAGTTTTCCATAATCCCAAAGGCCGTTGTAGCATTTCACAAGAGAAAATGCTTGGTCCTTAATTTTACCTCATTAATTTTCTGCTTGCAGGAAGGCCCTCCAGGTATTGGACTACAACACCACCCATAAATCCCAACCATGATTTTTATCCAATGTTGCTTAGAAATCATGGGAATTGTAATTCGATATATATGGAAGATTTCTCAGCAAAAGGGGGCAAATTATAATTTGTCAGAAATAGATAACTTAAACATTTTCCATTTAGTTAGTATATAGTGAACACTATATTCTAATAAAAAGAAAATATAGTGTTTCCTTGCTATTATCAAAGCAGCCAGGTAATCAATCCAAAATTATATACTTTGCTTAATATACTCACTTGAATTCCTCTAAAAACTCCATGGGTATGTATTCTGTACTGGGCCCCACAGCTGTATAACATTGGGGCTGTGTGATTATCACTTTCATATCCAGTTGCATGGCTGAAAATAAAAAGAGATCAAAGGTTGGAAATTAAACTTAATTCCTAAACCTCATTAGAAAAATGTTTGCAATATTTCTTCATTTATGCTAAAACCATTTCAAAACATTTCAACAGTTTTAAAGCTCAAACACCCTATGTAGAAAAATACCCTGATTTTGCTAAAAACTTGGGCTGCAAAGAATGAATGTAAGTTTGGTTTACCTATACTTACAATGATGATACGTCCTTTGTTATAAAAGACAATCTGTAGGAGATGACCAGTCTGAGCCTTGAATTCCATTGATTCTTATCTACCGCTGCTGCCAATTGGCTTTGACCATTAGTAGTTCAGATTCTTATAGAGTGCTTCACCTTGCAACCTTTATGTTCATTTGAACTGCTGGATTTCCTGATTTCTCACACTTGACCCAGTCCTTTATTTCAGAAAACTGTCCTTTAGTTTTATTTATTTTTGAAAAACTCAAATTTTGTCTTTTATTTTGGTCATTTTACTTGTATTGTATAAATGGTACCACTTAATACACCATTTTTCACATTCATATGAAAAATGGGGAAATTGAATTGTCTTTTAAATAGTTTAGATATTTTATTAGAATATTTAGAATTGTAAAGTTTTTCTTGTTTTTGTTCTTTAATTTTCCTTCATTAAGCAAAGTTATAGATATAAACAATTATTTTTTTTATCCTTATGAAACTGTTCCAGCCTTGCCCCCTTTTCAGGTTTGTCCTTTATTTTTTCCAAAAAAATATGGTCATGGTAATCTATATTTTAACAACTGAATACTGAAACAATTTTTTAAAAATAATAGAAGAAAACGGAGCCACAAAAAGTAAGATTCCATATGTGCAGGTTATTTATCAGCTAAATGCCAAGTTGGTAATTACTAATATCTTTGGAATTAGCAAAATGCCTCAGGTTTCACATTAAGTGCAGTGGGTTTTTGTCAGCACCTCATGACTCAGATATAAGCAGATAGGACAGAGAAAGTGATGACATTTACAAGAAGAGCAGAACTATAGGCACAGGATAGGGTTACAAATCAGCGTCCTAACTATTTTATTCATACATCAGCTTAGAAGATGAATTGTGGTTTAACCTTTAGCCAAATCAACAAACAGATATTTCTATTCCCGATAGAAATCAATGATCTCTTTTATTTCCAGCAAGGCAACAGCTATATAAAACTATTTTATTTTACTTTTGAAATTTTAAATTCAAGGGTAGAAATCTGTTCACATTATCAATATGTGTTCTGCAATTCTCCCCAAATTTCAAATAATCATGATCATTATAAGAATTTATTATGGTCTAGGTACAAAAATATTAAACATCAGTGTAGTAAAATAAAACAAAACATTGGATGACATCAAGATGATCAACAGATAAACAAGAGTTGTAATTATGGATCACTTCGCATTAGTGCTTCGTTTTCACTCCTGCTGCTGCATAGTATTTTGCTACAATTTGGGTCAGAAGGGATTTGAAATCTGAAAAAAGTATATTCGTATTAAAGTTATTTGTTTTCCTTGTGGAGGAAACAAGGATAAAATGTAAATGTTCTGGATGTCCCTGTGGATGCCACAGTAAAATAACACATGCAGAATTGTTTCAATATCCATGGATATTGAAATTGAATAGGATATTGAAATCCTATGGAATATAGAAATATTGAAGTCCCATGGGCAAACATGGTTCCTGTATGAGATCCTAGAATAGTTTTCTTGTAATAGTACCCAAGGAAAAACATTACACCTTAACTTCCTTATGCCAAGCTATTTACCTTCCATCTCGATCATCCAAGTCTTGATTGTCCCAAGGGTGCTTTCCAAAAGGTAAATGGGCTTTGTTGGGTTTTCTTTGTTTTTTGTTTGAGAATGTTTGAAGAAAAACATTTTTCAAGCTTTGTGGGTGAGAAGTGAATTGAAGACATGAAGAAGCTCATAGAACTGTAGAAGCTTGTTGAATGAGAAGCGGAAACACTCTCTAGAAAAAAATCAAGGAAGTCTAGATGCCTTTGAGACTTCCATCTAAATACCATTTAGCCTCTGCAGAAGTATAACTTTGTCATGGTCATACCCTCGGGGATCGCCTTGCTAACCCTCCAGGTCTTTTGTTTTTCTTCTATGACATTGAATTTCAAATAGTGGAGGTACACTTTTTCTTCAGCTAAAAGTCAAAGTCTCTTAGAATAGGGAAAAAGTGCAATTTCAATTGTTTTTTTTCAATTACATATGGTTTACCTTGTATAATCACTGATAAGCCAAGAATTTTAAGTGCCAAAATATACTTTAAGTATTGGGTTCAGCTTATCTGCAGACAGGCTTATACATGCATATGTACAGAGTAAGAATTATTTACCCTGAAATGAGATCAGCACTTTGGGTTCAAATGGGATTTGGCTCCATTTGAGTTGCAGCCTCATAAGATGGCATACTGTTGAAATTACTGAACTAGGTGAAGAGTTAAACTTTTATTCAGCCAACTTTGTTAAGTTGGTTTAGCGTATGGTTTTAGGTCACACAGAGCTCCTTTTTAACTAGGAACTATGTGACTTTTCCAAAATCTTAACTGAGAAATCTTAGATTATGTCAAAGCATTAAACTCTGATATACCCTAAATTCTATTGTTTATGGTCATGAATGACAAAGTAGAATCATTTTATTTTTATTTTTTTATCTACAGCTTGTTTAAAACCAGTTCTATTATAGGGAATGGAATGGAATAGAATGGACATTTTTATCCATTAACTTTATCTTTAATATTAGCCAGACAACTGTTTAAACCTCTCACGGATGAGGGGCAGGGCAATGACATGCGGACCTTATAATCCTTCACAAGGTAGGAAGAATCCACCACTGATGTCTGTTCCAAATAAACAGAATTGGATAAGATTTATGGAGTTGAATTTGTCTTAGGCATATCAGTTGATTTAATAATTTCCAGAGCCAAACTCTCCATAGAAAAGTAATAATTAAACAATGCCTCTATGTGAAAGTAACAGTTAACAATTTGCACTAAATCAGCCTAAGTGTTCCATCTTAAATAAACTTTTTAAAGGCATCACCAATTTAAAACAGCTAGTACATTCAAATATGTGTGAGTCATGGTTAAAGTCTCATAAAAAAGAAACTGATTAAGTGCCAGAACAAATTATTTTTATAATGCTAATATAATATGCTCCCAGTTCTGATATTTAGCGCCAAGTGAAAAGGAGAAAGGAAGGAAGGAAGGAAGGAAGGAAGGAAGGAAGGATGGATTATATAATATCAATATGTCCTAGCAATCAATGAATATACAAGGAAACAAAAAACAATACCTGAAAAATGTCAAATAAAGGCTATTTAGCTATCTGAAAATCCCTTAAAACCCTTTCTAGTCAAGGCAGAATGTATTAAATTAATTAATCATAATGTTATATAGTTTGTATATAAGTGGTAAAACAGAATATATTGTGTGATGAAAAGCAGAGCAGTTCTGAAGTCTCACTTTAGTGTGGTTTTAAAAAAATCTTGAAAGATTAATTTCTAATCTGAAAAGTATGAAACTTTCAATTACTTCATTACACCACTGTTATTTTGTTACATTGGCAAAATTCATATGATTCATAACCTATATTCCCAAGTTAATAAAGCTACACTAAGCATTTCTGAAGAACACAGTGACAAGTTAGCAAAAACATCAGCATGAAACATGAATACAGAACAATTCATCATAATCAGACTTGAATATTTTAAAAATAGTTGGGGGGGGGTTGGGAAGAGTTTACATAGAACAGACCCTACATTAAGCTATACACATTTTAAAGAAGAAATTGGCATGCTTGCATATAGAAATAGCCAAAAATGTGAGGCACAGGAAAAATGCCATTTTGGCTTAGAGACAAATGAAAAGGAGTTTCTTTTTACCAGTTTACTTAAGATATTTCTTATTGGAATACGTGAAAATATCCATCATCTTTTTTAAAAATATATAACTATTAAAGCAGCTAAATTAGGTTTTGGGGGGCAATACGCTGACTCTGTAAACTGCTTAGAGAATTCTGTAAAGCACTATTGCTATTGCTGTTATCAAAATGGGTTAGGATTTAAAAAAATATATATTTGCTGAAGTATCCTCATTGGTTAAGATCAGTGTTTTTGCCTTTGCCTACAGAGTTAGGTTAGGATGCTCTTACAATATATCCCTTCATTTTTAGTAGCTTTAAGCATGTGAGTGGATTACATTAAATTAATCCAGTACAGTATGGTTTTGCTTTCATTCAGATAGTGGGGTAAATTTGAGGAAGGAGTTTTAAGTAAATTTGCTGCCTTGAGTTATTTACAAAAATATTAAAAGTGAGATTTAAATAAATAAATAAATGGTCTTTCTACTGATACAGGTTGTTTTCTCCTGTTGAAGACCCACATTACCATTCCATTCTCATTCCATTCCTTCATTAATCCTCACAGACAGCTCTGGACACCAAGGGCCCTAGTGACAAGGTAGTGGTGAAGGTGGTTATTGTATGAGAGTTCTTTTCATGCATCTAAGAGTGCAAACCATGATTATTGCAGCACTTGTTACTTTTAGGCTTACTGGCTCTGCAGCTGTGCCCTGATTCAACTTGAATTATATTCAGACTTGCAATAAAACTGAATGTTTCATTGTACTGCCTACTGGTAGTTTTGGTGATCCTGTGTTCTAACACAATGCTCATCACAATACTCATCAAGTGTATTGATGTGCAGCAGCAGCCAAAAAAGCTAATACAATCCTGGGTTGCATAAACAGAGACATAGAATCAAAATCACGTGAAGTATTAGTACCGCTTTATAAAACCCTAGTGAGACCATACCTGGAGTACTGTAACCAATTTTGGACACCACACTACAAAAAAGATGTTGAGACCTTGGAAAAAGTTCAGAGAAGAGCAACTAAGATGATCCAAGGCCTGGAGACTAAAACATACGAAGAACGGCTGCAGGACTTGGGTTTGGCTAGTCTAAAGAAAAGAAGAA